TGGTAAATTTCAAATAATTACAAAACTAAAATAATTTCCAAAAAAAAAAAAACAACTCTCAATAACAAATCTAAAATAAAATCTAAAATCCAACATATCTAAATTAATAATAATAATAATAATAAAACATTTAAAAAAAATAAAAATCTCCATAGTTTAATCTTGAAGCATTGGTGGAAGCACTCGTCATCTTCTATGAGCATCCACGACGACGGCGACCACGAGCATCACGACGAGCAAATATTGCAATGAATTCCTCTGAGAGTGTAGTTATGTATTATATCGTGAGTTAGTGAGTTTTTAAGTAAATTGTAAGTGAGCGAGTGAATAAGTGAATCATAAATACATATACATACATACAAACATACAATGTAATATATACATGATATAATACATAGAGTGGAAGTGTGTTGATTAACCACGAGGAAGAGGTGGTTAGTAATCGCAACAGTCAGTATAAAATTTCCAACTACAACAACGACGACAGCAGCAACGACGGCGAACCACGACGACGTTGCAATCGTAACAAGTCGGATTTCCTGTAGCCTCTAGCAGCACCAGCAGCAGCAGCGGTGGTAGTATAGAAGCAGCTGCTGCTCGTCCCTCCCACTGGGACACATCAGTAGTCGGTAGTCAGGATAATCTTTCAAAGTCGAGCCAGGACATTTTTTTTATTTTTAATTCTTTTCAATTTTATTTATTAATAATTAATATATATTATTGAGGAATTAATTTTAATACTAATAATATTAACACTCACGTTGGTTACAAGTTGTTACGAAGATGGAGTCGAGAGAACGTTACGACGAGCTGTGTCGCCTGTGTGCATCTTATGATGCGGTTAAAATGGATATATTTGGACAAGAAGGAAAAAATCGTCAGCTTGTTGATAAAATACAAACTTGTCTACCATTTAAGGTAAATTATTTATTTAAACAAATTAATTAATTAATTAATTAGATTTAGAAAAAAATTTTTTTGTTATTTTAAATTAATAGAATTATAGACGTAGATATTTATTCAGCTAATTGTATCATGATGATGATTTAAAAAAGTAAACTGCGTTGGCTATAATTGTTGTCCACTCCCTCGTGCGTCATATCGTCGTCGTCGTCATCATCATCACCGATCAACATTACGTCCTCGTCCTCGTTCTTACGGCGAGTGTCGCTGCTGATGCCCACCTTACCTTGGACTTTCGAATTCTGGACAATTCAAACCTAAAGACCGAGAATTTTTTAATCAACTTGCTATGCAGTGTAACTAACATTTAAATGTGTAAATATACTGACATGTGTGCACACGTATGTTATATGTTGGTACATTAGCTTAAGTTAAGCTAAGTGTGTGTGTGTGTGTGTGTGTGTGTGTGTGTGTGTGTGTGTGTAATTATTATTGTTATTAATTACCACACACCAGGTCCAACTTGGTCGCTGATTAAAGCAGACGTTTGAGAGTGGAGCTGCTGGATCAGCCATAAAGAGCCAACATGGTGACGGTGGACGAGGATCGCCTCGGGGAGCTCGAGACGTGGTGGAACGTGTGGAACGGGGGGCCGTGAACGAGTGTCGGTGTAAAGGAAGAGGAGGCGCGGCCGGTACGGGCGTTATACTCGCTAGATCGAGAGAGCGAGGTCGCCGGCTGCCTTCAGCTCGCGCTACTGCTCTTTCATTCTACTTCCTAAAATTCTGTTAAACCAAATGCTGCTTTTATCACGCACTCGAGATGATCAAGGCCACGTACTAATCTCACCATATTTATATGAAAAAAATATTTTATCCGGGCGCTCTATTGTTTTTAAACACGTGACTATCTTATTTTTGTTTATTATCTATATTAAGAGAATAAGAAAAATTTTTTGTCATTCTCATCAATATTTAGGCTGCATTCGAAAATGTATCTCTAGATACATAAAAAATGACCTTGTATCTTGTGAACTATTGACATTTTTTAAGATATAAGCTCATCCTGATGTTACACTCATCGAGAGCTTTCATTTGAGTACCCACATCAATTTTTCATATATTTTATATATTTATATATTTCATATATATTTATATATATTATATATTTAGATTTATATATATTATATATATTTATATATGAAAAATATATAAAAATTGCCATGTGGGTACTCAAATGAAAGGTCTCGATGTTAGTAACATCAAGATGAGCTTATATCTTTAAAAATATCAATAATTAGGAACTGACATTGCTATCTTGTCAATTAATGATATTTTTAAAGATATAAGCTCATCCTGATGTTATACTCATCGAGACCTTTTATTTGAGTACCCACATCAATTTTTCATATATTTTATATATTATATATATATATGTATATATGAAAAATATATCAAAAATACATGTGGGT